TGTCAATTAAATACAAATGAAAATACTAGGATACTGGAATAAGAATAAGTATCAATTAAAAGGGGGTTTGAGGCAAATTAAAACACCCTATAACGAATTAACGTTTGAAGGTGAATTGTCGTAGAAAAACGTATTATTTTAAATAAAAGATACTGTCGAACCGAGCAATAATAATTGTTTCTTCAGAATATATTGCAATATACAGTCGGTATGAGAGTAATGAATAGTAATTCTAACAACCGCGATTTGTTTTTGAAGCACCACAAACGCAGATAAATAGATACCTAATGGAAATTTCACTTCGGCACAACTTGATCTATTGTACAGATTATATAGGTTATAACTTTATATTAGGTATACGAAACTTTTTCTAATTCAGCCGTTTTTATAAAATGTATTTGATTTGATTAGAGAAAAGTGGATTCAACTTGTAAATAGTTTATAAATATTAATAAAAAAATAACTGAGGCATGAGTGTCAAACAATGACTATTTACAGTAAATTGTATAGTCCCAATGATATTAATATGACGTTATGTTTTTATTTATATTGTTTTTTTTATTGGTCTTGAAGTTATGAAAAAAATCTTCTTCGACTACTCGGGCCATTACATTAATTGTATATTAGACATAACTTAAAATCTATAAAATAGGAGAACAAATACAGTTTTAGATTAAATATTTCGATATATTTATGTACGTTGCAATAATTGGCTAAATAAAATGTAGTATTTTGATTGTTTTATAGAATTCCATTGTGTCAATTTCGTTGTCTGGATTCGGACCTACATAGACTTGTTCCAATAAGGTGGCTTATGTTGAGTTCCTAACTTTGTTTTTCAAACTTTCTGCATTCCCCGAAGATGTGTCGGATTGTGAGAGTGGTGCCGCATGATTATTGGTGCTGGTCACCTTTTTCCATCAATATATTATATTTTCTATTAACTCTTACAATAATATTCTCGTAGGTAGCAATTTATGCCGAAGTGTCACGCATTCATGTTACATATTTTATTTTTTAATATTATTATGATGATTATTTCTCATGACCTACATAAGAAAATAATATTAACTTACCGAAAAACGTATGACGCATGAGTCAATATGTTAGTCGTTCGCTGTATCGCCACTGCTTATGTATAACAAGCTATTTTGCTAGGTAGAGTCCGGTGGAGGTAATAACATAATATAATCCTTTTTTGCACGATACGCCACGCTGCACACCGACGTTTAATATTATTGTTATTTCGATAAAGACGCGATAATCGTACAAATGGCCGCGGTATACATGAAATAATAATTATAATGTCTGGCAGTTATTATTATTATTGTTCTGATGGTGGTACAATATTATTATTATTGTAAAACACGACGGCTAGTGATCGTCAGGATACTTTTGCGGACAAAGTTTTTCTGGCCAGTGCCATTGACACGACGACGTCAAAAGCGGTGAAAATTATTTCACGTCTAACGATATAAAAATCATCCGATGAAAATATAGACCCCCATTGCACCATGTGAGTTATTATTCGCAAAATATTCAGTCTACAACGATAATGATGACCGAAATCGAGCATGTAAAATACTGGTTGCCGCGTGCATTCGATTTAAGTATATCTGCAGCTAGTGTATACACTAATGTACCCATAATAATATAATACGTGGACGTATTATGTGTGAGGATTGGTTTGATTTATATTTTTCACACGGTATAATGTCGTGGTAACTGCAGTTTTCGTGATTATCGACTTTAGTGGGCATTTAAATAATAGTATGAAATATAATAGCTTACACAGTTACACAAATTCAAAAATGCATTTGGTTGCAATATGAGATGGGGCCGCAACTATATTATTGCGATTATTAGGTATTTACCAGCGGGGGTAAAAGCATAACATTTTAAGCGGTCCAGTCAATGTATTATAATTTTTAAATTACGAGTTGGGTGTTGTTATATTAAATAGTTAAATCGACATAATAAAATATTAATTTGTCTAAAACCAAACCGGTGCTACTCGATGGCCCCAATTTGGAGTACCTACTTGGGCAGTTGGCCCCCACAGCACTCTCACGCAGTTACGGCACTGATTGTATATCATAATGACATCATAGGTAAAATCTATTTCGTCAAATATTTCTATCTATATAGGTACTATTATAATTATAGCTTTGTGTGCATTAATCCGGTTTAACGCATTTATGCGACAAACTCTGATATTATAGCATAAGAGTATAGGATATATTACTACCAGCTATCGAATATCGAAAACTTCAAACAGAAATCGACGTCATAACAAGCTCGAATTAATATTCGATATACATATACATCATATACGTTTGAAATGTTTATACATACAACGGTTGTTTATTATAATTATGTATTTTGTTTTACACCAAAGTACCTATATTGGTATATGGACAGTAGTTGTTATTTTGAAACTTCCTATCGTTTATTTCAATACTAGGTAATATCGTTTGATTGTTTTTGAAAATATGTTTGGTGAAAAAATAGTTTCCATGAATTTTTAATTTATAACTTTTTAATAAATCGCATCAAAGGCATTCGTTTGAGCATATTTTTATATCCGAAAATATAATTATGATGATTAAAAATGGTTTAAATGTGTATGCTGCATATATTAGTGATGAAATAAAATTATAACAAGATAAAATACCATTTTAACTGTGATATAAAAATAAATAAATAACGGAAATGCTCCATATAGTTGGTATTTCAGTCGGGCACTATAAAATCTATTAACTGATTAAATTTTAATAAACTCGTAAATTAGTTCGTTGCATAAACCCGGGGTCGGTATAGTGAACACAATGTTCAATTTTAAGTCATAGTCGTCGTGTTGTAGGTAACTATTATATAGGTATAGCTCTAAAATTTCAAAAAAATAAAATATACCTATAATACTCCCATTTGATATTTAAATTTTTATCGCTAAATAAAATATATGAAAATAACTCGGATGTAAAACGCACGTTTAATACGGTCGTAAATAGTGGAGTTTTTGTAAGATGCACGAAAAACAACGTACACCTATACCTTTATTTTATATTATTGAAAATAAAACGAAATAGTAATCTCGTTTTTATATGTTTATCCGTAAAGGTTATGAAAATTCATATGTTTGATGGAAAATCAATAATAATTACAAACCTGAAATTACCCGCTGGAGACGTATATGCGAGTTCATAATAATAATAATAATAATAATAATAATAATATATTATTTAGGTATATATAATATACAGCTCGGGGAGGTGAGTCTGGGTGGTTGCTCGACACGGCACGAGATGATTATAATAATAATAACAATAATATAATAATATAGACGTTAATATAACATTAAAATATGCAACTTTGCTCGCTCGTCTAATCGAATTTTTTTTTCATATATTCAACGTCACCCGTTTAATAATTCAAAACGCTTTTAACCCCTAGTGGACTCGTAAAAACCCAAGTCGATAAAAACCCACACACACTCGCGACACACCTCTATGCTCGAGCATGAGATATAGATACACCTCGACGCTCGACGTATGCACGCATATGTATGTATTATTATTATTATTATTGTTGTTTTTACGTAGTTTTCCCCCCGTCTACTATTTTCATATTTTATTATTCGCTATACACTGCAGTGTATAATATTATAGGTGTGTACCTACACTCGGACGACTTGGCGGGTGGCAGGCGGGAACGACGACCGAAGTATAAAGACCGTAAAAATATTATTTCTCGTCTCCCCCCCCCCACCGTTCTTGCTCCACCACGTGCATTCCGCCGAATCGAGCTCAGTGTGATGCCACGGCACTTGCGTCGTTTCCTGGGGCGCCCAGGAGGAGGAGGACGACAACGACGACGATGATCACGACGGAAAATGAAAATAAAGAAAAGCGATACGGTCGGTTTCATAAAAATAAATAAATAAATAAACTCGGCGAGCATTAACATGAGCGATAAACACGAGTGCCGAGCCGGAGCAGTTATTCCATGTATATATCATAATAATAATAATAATAATAATAATATACATTCACTATATATAGGTACTTGGCACGCGAATGTGTACATATCATAATTCGGAGGAAATAGAGACGAGAGAGACGAATATATTTTCGCTTAAACGAAAGAACAGTTTTTCCGGGAAACTACTCCGGGCGCGGCGGGGTTTTCTCTAAATTACGCCAAATTGAACGACGCGCGCCTTGTACAAGGCGGCGGCAGGAAATTGGTCCCCCAGAGAACGAAACGAGACAAATCAGACCGAGGTCGGTGGTTGTATTATAATAATAATAATAATAATAATATAATACGTATACGTATAGTCGCGTATATAGTCCTCAGACTGGGACGACGAGAAAAAATAACGGACGCGCCTTTAGGGGGCACCGAAAATAAATAAATGAAAACAGAAATGAAGCAATTTATTACTCGCCACGGTGTATATTATTGTTGTGTAATATATGCATAAGGAGTACGCGTTTGGCTCAAACGCAAAAACGGTGTTTAAAACAGAAAGAAGTAATAATCCTTTCGGTACAACGACTACGACGCCGTAAAAATACGATTAAACCTCTGAGATGGAAAAAAATTCGTAAAATATATAAACTGTTGAAATGTGTATAATATAATATGATATTAATTATATTGTGTTTGTTCGTTTGTTTTTCTTTTAATCGACGACGCAAATTTCGCGGTCGCCTTGAGAGACAAAAAAAAAATTATAACAAAATGTGCCTATGCAGTAGTATAGGTAATTAAGACTATAGAATAATAATATTGTTAAACAATAATATCAGTGGCATATCCATATTTTTTTTTTGGAGGGAGGAGGTTAAAAATCAATTTTTAACAAATTTTATCCGGAAATGATTTATTAATAAAAATTATGTTATTATTTAACAATTTGGGGGGTGGGGGGTACTACACCCAACCACTGTATACGCCACTGAATAATATTATAATAATATAATATTTGTTGGTCTCTAAAGCGGCGGAGGCGGCGGTGGATTTTTAGGTGCTGTTTCGATGAACATTTCTTCGAACGGCAACGTGGACAGTATTTGATTGGCTACTCCCAAGAAGAGCGATTCGCAAAACTCTTCGATAAACGGTGTAAGTACGTCGAGCACTTCGCGTCTGTTGTTATCGTAAAACATGTTGGCCGTTTCAGCTGAAATATAAACCACAACACGACATAAATAATTAGTTTTGGCGGATAAAAAACAAAACAATGTTGAGGATCTTCCGAAGTGACCATAAAAATATATTATTATCTATACAATACCTATGAATTAAAGATAATGAAAAGCGTTTTTCTCATATTAACAAAATAAAACAATATCGATTTCAACAGTTTTCAAAGATTTTGTTTTGATTTATGACAGGTGGTTTTTCTGAACCTCAATATTCTCATAATATATTAAAACCTATCACGATGGTTGTATAGTATTACAGGGTTGGGTGAATTTATGTATAAAAGTTGTATACACCATGATGTATTATACATATGTATAATACATTTTTTACATATTATATAAAAGTATAAAACGTATAAATAGTTATTTCTATTTTTTCTTTCATAAAATATTTAAATTATTATTAAATATTTTTTATACATACCTAGAGTATAAATCATAATTGTTTTAACTAAAATAATTGTTTTTTCTATGTCTTAGAAATCAAAAATTATAATTTATAAATGATAATTTAAATTAAATGGGATAAGTGAATAAGTGATAACTGATAATAAGCAATTAAATAACTGATTTATTGATATTAACAGTGTGACCAAATAAAATTATATTTTATAGTTATAATAATTGGATTTTATTTGAGTTAATAAATTGATTTTATTTTTTTAATTTGAGTTTACATCGATAATGTATAAAATATAGATGCATTATAAGTATAATACATAGTATAATACGTGCCAACCCTGAGATATTATAATATCTCAATTAATATTGTGTGGTCGTGTGGACCTGATTTCTTAGAACTAATATTTAATAAGTTACTTATAATAATATAATACCTATGAAGGATTATTGAATCAATATTGTAAACTTTAATTTTTCTAATACACTATTCATTACCTGCTTTGAAACTTTACTTTGGGCACCACTCAAAAACAAATTGAACGTAATTCAATATTTTTCTGAATTTAATACTAAAATTGATATACGTTTGAAAATTTCCATTTTTGAAAAAAAAAATTTTGTACATTTTTTAACTTTTCCTAAGGTGGTGAGTACTTACCAAAAATACTATTTTCCGGGTTTTGAGTTGTGTCCACTAGTCGTCCTGTAGCATCGCCAATGAACCCTTTAAATTTGATCTCAACGAGTTTCAGGTAACTGCGGCCACGCTCGTTTTTTGGACTAAGTTCCGCTTTTCCGGTCATGTTCACTTTAACGTCCTCTGGAATCCAGTTCATTAAATTTAAACATTAACACCTATTGTTAGTCTACGTGATTGTATCCACTGTATCACGATCGGGTCGTACAAGTACGGCACCGAACAAGGAAATTGCAGACGAGGATAAGATACTAAGTTTTAGTATTATTTAATACGTACTGATGGTGCCGTTAAATTTTCCTTGCCCTTTCATGGGTATGATTTTCATGAGCATAGCGTCCATAACGTATAATGTGGTCACGTTCAAATCGGCAAACGCTAGACTCACCGATCCCTTCAAATCCGTCAGGTTCACACTGGAAAACGGATTTCGACGATCAACGGTTAGCCCTAGGTTATTGTTTGTTTTTCCAATATTGGCACATAATACCTATACTTTTAGATTCTGAGCGGAGCGATGAATATATTGATTTTACAATGATGTGTGTTTTTTAAAAATTTTAAATTTCGTGTCTGTCATCACCATTTAGGGCAATAAAACTGTTTTTCTTCAACAGTATCTATTGTATTTTAGTTTGATGGGAAAGTGAATCATAGAATATTTTAAGGTATAAATCTACTTTACCAGACTCCTATTTTTTTTTTTATTAATACGTGGTTTTGTATGCTGAATTCAAAAGCATTTGAAAAAATTTCCGGAAACTTACTATTTTAAAAGTTATGGCAATTGGAAGTTGCAGTGATTACGCGTGTATCGGCACTCGTCGCTACGCTCCTCGGCTGACCTTAGAATGGACGAGCGAGCGAGTAACCACGCTGGCAATAAAATATGTACTTAGAAACAATATTGAGGAAAACCGAGGTTCACCTGAGGTGGTTTTACACAACAAGTCGAGGGAAATTTTCAATTTGTGGAGCGGAGCTACGAGTGCCGATAAACGCGTAATTACTGCAACTGTGAGTTGTCATAACATTTTAACGGTAAGTTTCCCGAAATTTTTTCAGACACTTTTAAATTCAGCATAAAATACCACGTATTTGAAGAAAAAAAATGGAAAAAAAAGTGTGTCCGGTAAAGTAGATTTGTGATGAATTTAAAATGTACACAATTCATTACAGTGGCCCACTTGTAACCCACTGTACAGCAGACCGACACCCACTTGTCCACCTTTTTTTAATTGTTATATTTAATATTTCTGTCCATCATTAGTATTTAACAATGAATATTTATCGTGGGTACCTATTTGAATAATTGTCGACGTTGCATAGGTACAATTTTCCTTATTGTAATAATATTATATATGTATTATGTACAGTGTACACAATATATATTATATAAATTATATGGCAAGAAACCTATTACATATGGAACCCTCAAACCCTCAACAGTGCATCATAATCAGTTTGTAGTAATATAATATAAACTCTACTAACCAGATCGGCGTGGTATTTCATCTGTTGAAACTTTGAAAGATAATAATATGATTAGGCTTAGGTATGAATATGTATTAGACAAATTAGCACGTATTATTACTAGTGTGGTACTTTTAGAATAAAAGTTTTATTCGCTCTCGGGTAGTTAGCCAACCCAATAATAATTACCATCGTGTAATATTGTACTACATATTGTTATTATATTTATTTATAATACAATATAGTATTATTATTGTTAGAATAGTTTACAGGGTAGGTCACCTCTACATTATTATCCCTTTATAATGTCTACCTATATGTCACCATAAGAACTGATTTTTATTTGATAATTATTTTGTACACTTATACACACGATGCATTTTCATTTGTGATTTATCTTTATAACAATATTTAATATATTGAAGTAAATTATTAATACTTATACTCGTTCAGTTAAAATATCACATTAATTAATGTATAACTTGTAAACAATGCGCACAGCTGGTTCTTAAATTCAAAAAAAAAAAAATTTATTCATACGACTTACTTTAGTTTGGAAAATACTACGTTGTTCACTCCCATAATTGCTAACTGTGTCAGGGTGGCTTTCACGTCCAGAGAATCCGACCTCCTGTCTATATTCGTTTCCGGCAGCAAGAAGGGCTCTAAAGGAGGTATTTTGAGTTTGGGAATGCCTAAAATAAACAAAAACAAAAAACAAAGCAATAAAACCATATTTCAGGATCATGAAATATTGATGCAATTTTTATTGGTACTTTAAAGAATTCGTGCGTATTATTTTTTTGTCGTTTTTATTTTTAAAATAAACCCTCAGTCGCGACTGTATGTTTGCGTATGTAGTGCGCCTCACCTCCACGTAACGCCGAGCTCTAAATAATATCGTACGGGCATAGCTATATATATACTCCATTATATACATATTATATAAGTAGGTATAAGTCGGCACTCCGGGTAAAAATTCAACGGATTATTCAAAATCGAAAAACGGGGGGAAAAAAACCACCAACAACGGCAACGACATTAGTATTAGCTCGGTAACATGTTCGATTTTAAAGTGTATGGCGGCGGAGGCGGCAATGCATTAGCTATATATTGTACCTTATAAAGACAATAATGTCGTTTTAATGAAAAACGATAAACGTACCTTCGCCCATCTTGGGCCTGAGTGCTTCCCACACGTTGGCAATGCATTGGTTTAGATCGTCGGAATCTCTCTTGCAAGGCGACACATAACTAGCTAAAACAATAATAACATTATGATTAAATTTTAATATTATATAATATGTATACCGACTGAAAACTGGAACGAAAGCGACGTATACGTAGACGTTACATTTTATTTTAAGGATTATTTTTCATCGCCAGCGATGATTATAATATCCTTTCAAAAACACCCGCGCAACGTCGTCCTTGTCGTTTTTAGAGTTTTCCATCACGGTACGACATTGCGATGATATCGTTGGACTTACGAATTTTTCCCGAAGACACTGCATGGTCGGCCGCCAAGAGCGACAAGACCAGCGAAAAAATCGGTAACCACCACGCCATCTTCCACGTAATCGATCAACGCGATGTCCATCGAATGTCGTAGACACAATAAACTTTATTGAACAAAGCTTACTACCTCCCACGGACACAATCGGTCGTCCTTATATATACGGTTTTCCGGCGTTGTTTTCCGCAATTCGTGATAATTCGTCTGCACTTATAACGACCTGCACCTAATAATGGGTACAATAATTGTCACCACTCGTACCTATACAACGCGTGTCAATGGGTTCATCGACACCGCGGAATCGGTGGGGGCGCAGTGTTTTGTGACAATATCATTTACCTACAATAATTATGTCATAATAATAATATATTTTAACGTAGGTACCTCTACCGTTAATAAGCCTTTTTTTTTTATTGGTAACGACTCGGCAGCAATAATAAGTCTTATAATAATTACCGTAATCATTATAACATTGTGCAATCATATTATTATATTATCGACATAATCGTTCGTCGCTGGGCCCCGTACTGATTAAAAAACACTGTTACTCATATTTTACGTAAATTCGTTATGTTAAGTAGGTGGGTAAACGGCGAGTGTCTCCGTTGTACATCACCTATAAGTGATTAAGTGAACAGCGTTTAGTCGGAATTACACGACAAGTTTAGTAAAGTTTTAGTAAAATAATTATTATCGGTATGCCTTGTGTGCTCGCTGATCGATAATTGCCATGTTATTATTATTAATAATATCATTATCATCATCATTACGGTGCGGCCATGTCTTATCACAGTGACTGCACAGTGCAGATAAGCTAGTGAGATTAACCGTAACTCGATATTAAACTCCAGAATTAAGGTCGTGCCGAGTATAATATAATAATATTATGTTAGTTTGTTTACATAAATGTAATAGCATTAACCGTAGGTATATGTGGTTGAAATATTATTATTTTCCTTTACGGTAATAATTTATTGAATTATATATTATTTTGTATAATAATTAATGTCTGGTTACTACATCATATTTTTTTTCCTATTTTTTTTATTTTATTATAATTTACTGATGGGTAATTACTAATTACATAATATAGGGAGTGAATATAATTTTGCAGTATTATGGTTATAATATCAATATTACTTGGTTTAAATTTAACTGTCAATCATCATCACTTATCACTAATTTAAAAAAATATATTATGTTTTATGATATACGCCAATCAAACAACATGTTGTTATGTTGTTCTAAAAGTAGAATTAGAAAGTTAATTTAAGTATTTATTATTTGTATAATAAATTCATCATATTAAATGTTGTTCAATTGCTCGTTAAAACTAAGATTTTCAATTTAAATCTTCAACAATAAATTTTTCTCAAAAAAAAAGTTATTAAGAAAAATCCTAAAAAGATATTATTTTCATTTCTTAGGAGTTTTGTTTTGACAACATAATAGAGTTCTTACAGTAAATCCATTTAATGTTTTTTTTTTTTTTTTTGTTAGTGTTCCATTTTTTTTTTTTACCTATTTTCAGTTTGTTTTTAAGGGAAGTCGTACGAAATTAAATTGTGAATCCCCATTTATACTATTCAGTTTTTTGAGCACCTACTTTTGCACTATTTGATTACTACGACTTACAGAGACTATAATATACTTCGAAAAAGCTCTTTTATGTAGGTATTACTTTTTCTTTTATAACTAATTCTCTTATAAAATCCAATATTCTATAAAATAATATTTTCAGATACAACATTTGATTATAAATACGTCTCTACTATAATGTCATTAATCATATAATTTGTATTTGCAATACATGTATAGGCGTATAATATCGAATGGAGTTGTTATTTTTTGATTAGTATTAAATTTAAGAAAAATATTTACAATAAATATATTATAAAAGTGTATCAATAAGTTGTGTTCAGAATATGATTTTACATATTGGAATAGTAAGTCCATTGGCACCGTTTCATATTTCATAGACCAAACAAATATTATTACTTATTTTTTATAATTTATAACTAACTATTATTATTTTAATGTAACCTACATTTTATTGAATACGAGAATTAGATAACTCAATATTAGCTGATGAAGCTGCATAAAAAAAATTCTGAAATCAACTTATTAAATTACTTATATTGAATGTACGTCACTCTTTTCAAGGTGATGAATTGAAAATTACTTAGCCCCCCCCTCCCCTCAATCAGATAATTGAGTATATTGAATTGAGTTCTGTCTATGATAATAAGATGGTTTGTAATTGAATTTTTTTAAATTGCAATATTGCATTATGTTATACCGATCATAATAGCTTGCAGTGTTCTGTACTAAAACTACTTCCTAGGTATTGAAAAGTAATCAAGTAATTTTCAACAACACGTCTTATAATAATTATTAAGTATATTATAACAGTATAAAGTATAATATTCTTTTTTTTTTAGAAACCTGCGCAGCTTACATTCGGGTTTAAGAAGTTATTATATCTGTTTTATTTATCAATGGTAATAAGCCAAAGCGTGGAGCGTATAGTGTTATTCGTGTATAGTTTTAGAGTATATTGGTATATATTATCATCATCAGATTCGGATGTACCTATACATTATACATTTATACCTCCATAGAATTTTCATAGGACCGCTATTACGGTTTTGAGTCGAGACATATTTTAGATAGCAAAACAACTATCCGTTTCTGTCGTACTATATAGCGCATTATGTATTGATATCGATTGGATGAATTCTACAACTGTAATCAACGACACCTGCAACATATAATCCTATCTTGTAACTGATGGCAACATTTACCTCAGCGATATTATTTTCATGCTCCGCTAAACTAAAGCTAGACAAAAAAAAAAAATAATCCTAATATTGTTTATGTTTTGGATAAGTTCATAATATAATAAACGAATAGGCAGGTAAATTCTGAAAGTCGTTACACAACTTTACACGACTATTTAAGAAGGTTATAAATAAATTATGCAGTGGAATGAATATAGAAACCGACTGTTTTATACAAAAAAAAAATTAAGTACTCTTATCATTATTATGTTTTTATAGATGCATATCATAATATTAATTATTATACAAGCAACTCTTTAACTAACTATATGACATTTTTCATTATTTGATTTTTTATTTCGTCCTTTACTTGATTTTACAATATTACGATGAACGGTGCCATGTGTTTAACTGTTAAAGTCACACGATTTTTTTCTGCTGAATGACATGCATTTTATTTGGAATTATTTTCCATTGATCCAGATGACGTTAAAATACACGTCATAATTCGATAACAAAATCGTTTTTAAGTTTTTAATCATTTTTATCTGCTTATAGGCATAAGATAAAATAAAATGTTCTTGAATAGAGAACTCCCATTTTTGAGACTGGATTTGGATTACATTATTTTTTCTAACCAACTTTAACTTTTAAAGTTTTTTTTATACCTTCAAAATAATATATTTATTTAGGACAGTCAAAAGTTAGTAGTTCACATACTTTTACCAGTATACGATTGCATATTTCTATGTAATTTCAAGTAATTCGTATAACTATATTTATTCAACTGTCCTAAAAAAATTCAAATTTGAAGGTTGGTATAAAAAAACTTTATAAGTCACTCATTAAATTATTATTTAATCACCAATATACCTAGTTCATCTTTTTATGTTTGTATCTGATCTATGTGATTCAATTTTAAACTTAATCCCTACATTAATGGATTGATTTTTCATTTACAAGTTTATTATAAGTTTGAAATTCTAACACACATCTACGTAATTCTGTAAACTACTTATAATACGTTAAGAGCTTTAGAATTAAAAACTTTAAACATTGTTTTATACGTTAAATTCTGTAAAATTTAGTTTTCAATTTGTTGCCATATATAGTTTCCGTCATTTAAACATTTAATGCAGCAAAATATAATATATATGTGAATTTTTAGATTCTGAGTGGAACGATGAATATATTTATTTTACAATGATGTGTGTTTTTTTATTTAATTTTTTTTTTGTGTCTGTCATCACCTTTTAGGACAGTAAACATGCTTGGATTTTCTTCAACAGTATCTTTTCTGATAGGAAAGTGAATCTAGTTGGTATTTGGGGGGGGGGGGTAAAAAGTAAAATTTTTCCATTAGTTTTCAAAAACAAAAGAAAAATTAAGAAAAAACGGGAATTTTTACGTTAAATCGATTTTGGTTTTTGTTGTTACTCTAAAACAAATGAACGTATATTATACATGAAAATTTAACTGGTTGTTTATATTTCCATTTTCTATACATGACAAAATTTTCCAAATATTTTGAGTTATTTTGAGCTCTTCACGGACATTATCAGTTTCCATTTTTTTTTTTAGTTTTTTTTCTATAAATATCAATAAAATTGTATTTGTTGGGTAAAAAAGCGTGAGAATTTAATTCAAAGCTCCTGATATTATATAGTTACAATAGCACTTGAAAAATATTAAAAATAAATATTGTTCTTATACAATGATATTATATCATTGAATTCAAATTTAATACCATCCATTGTACAGTGACTCACTTGTAACCACGGTATATTATAATATACCGTGCTTGTAACCTACTGTTCAGCAGAGCACCTTTTTTTATTGTATATTATGGATGTTTAAATTTATGGTAAAATCATAATGTGAACAGTACCCTATACCCAATTAAATGTAAAATTCTACATTATCCACGCTGTTTGGATTTTAAATGTTTATGCGTCAAAATAAAATTATTACTTTTAGTTGTTTCCATTAGTAGAGTTTTTTTTTGTATAAATAATACTAAACGTTCAAAGTAAAATATATCGTGTATGATTTTATTCAATTCATTGATGTATTAACATAATTTATTAGTTATTAAAACCAATGGCTCTAAAATTGGCCACAATTACCTTCAAAGGTTTGCACTGTTCAAATCGAAAATTATAATAGACTTAATATATATTATAGTTTTCGTTTTATATAGCGATGGAACAACATTAATATTGTTTTACTATTTACACCAACATCAAATACGTTGTTGCTGCTAATTTACACAA